AAATACTTTTGTTTCTTGCTTTTGAAGTTCATATGTCATGATATATTGTAGCCTACAGTGTGCATAATTCATGGCATGCACAACTTTTACTGACATTAAGACACTACAAATTGCAATGTTTAGCATCCCTTACGTGACAACATTTTTGTGTCTACTGACTGACAACACTACTGCATAGTGGTGCAAGTGGTTAAAAAAGGGTAACCCACTTTTGTTTGAAGATGTTATACTACTGCATCTGTACTGCTAATCTAGGCCACTTTAAATTATAGTATTGAAGGCACAGAAGCCAACAGGTACACATGAAGTTATCTGTGAGTTTGTCTGTATATATACAAACAACAGGTGATTGCATGGCCAATGATACAATAAGTAATAACAGGTTCTGAATTCAAAAGTATTTATTTCTTAGTAAGAATAGAAGGATAAGGAGGGGAACCAAAATAACAGACATCTTGACCGGGGATCTAAAAAGCTCCTGCAAAACTCATTTTATGGGCACTTTTGAGTATTAGTGCGATGGTGCCTATCAAACATGAAGAAGTGTCAGGGAAAGTTGGCCGGCTAAATACCATCTGAAAAGGGTAGTTGTTATTCACTTGGAATAAACAACTTGAATGTCTATATTTAGAACTATCAGAACATTTAAGGAGTTTCCAGAGAACACACAAGATGCAAAAATGTCACAAGTACAAAGTCGTAATTGTCTATACTAAGTTCAGTCAAGTGTCTAAGGTTAAGGCTGAAGTCAGAGAAGAAACACTCATAACAAGCTAGTAAGAAAGGTGACAGGTCAGGTGTACCCTAATGATTTCTACAAGTGAAAGACTGGGTGAAAATGTTTTTGTGTTCAGTAGATAAAACAAATATATCTTTTTTGCTACTTTCATTAACAGTATTGATTACAGTTAAAATATCTAATTTCATTTCTTTTCGAGTTTATTTTTTATTATAAAGATTTTTTTCGCATTGTTAGCGTCTAAGCATTGTTAGCGTTTAGGTCTAAACAAAATTTCCTAAACTGGCCATCTAGGCCATCCAATCCACTATACTAAACTCTAAAATAAATCACTCAAAGCCAACCCTTATTCAAATACTTGTGAAGCCTTTCCTTAACCCTTTCACTGCCAAATTTTCCTATGGAAAGTTGTCTACAGTGCTGGAATTTCCAGTGAAAAATGCCAATTTTGAAACACGTTATTTTAAAATCCCTAAATCACCCTAAAATGCAGATATATGCACTGCAAATATTAAAAGAGAACATTAAAACAATAAACACAACATTTTAGACGAAAAATAATGTAGTTTTACTACCTTTTTTTTCTTCTAACGTCTGAAATGCTTGAGCATGTGGTACTTCTTGAAGCAGTCTAGAAGACACATGGGCAAGCATCGCTCCCTCCCATCCTTATATTTCATGCATCAATGTTTGGTTTGCTTCCTCTTTGGATGTGAAGGGCTTTCACTGCACACTACACAGTTAGGCTTGTATTTAGGATCTGGATAAGCTATTGGAAAGTGATGCCCTGTCAGTTGCTCCTCCCTATCCTCTGGGTTATCCTTCATCCTCCTCCCTTTCCTTCCAAATTTATTCGGAGGAATAGAAACACAGAGTTTGGTTGCCACATTTTTCCCGATTGAATGTGACTCCATTTTTGAATTAAGGTTGGCAGTTGTGTACAGTATGTAGGAATTGACTAGTGCTGCCTCTCTGATGAAGTGATAAATTGTGTGATACTACCTATTGCATTTGTGTCAATATGGGTAGCTGGTACATTTCTGGTCAAACAAGTCAACTCCTCCCATTAAAGCATTGTAATTACAAGCTACATTTGGCTTTTTCACATCCCTAAATCCAGTCTCTGAGTGCTTGGATCAAATTCATTTCCGAATGTAGCCATTATTATCAATTGTCGAGAGAAAGTTCACCCTTGTAGTGTCATGCCAGGAGCAGACAAGCATACCACCCTTTCTGTAATAAAGAGGATCATCACCTTTCTTCAGCTGTAACCTTGCTGGTCTAATTTTTCCTGGAAGTCCCCTTTATTCAATCTCACAGTTACACAGGCATTAGTACCCTGTTCCTTGAGGGCTTCAAAGAGGCCAGAGCTGGAGCAGAAGTTATCAACATATAAATGGTGGCCAAGGTACAAGTATCTATTATTGTCCATCAGTTTCATAACATTATGACCCAAGCCTTGCTCTGGTGCCACAGGGTTGTTGCCTTTACCAGTATAAACATCCCAGTCTAACAGATAACCTGACTTGCTCTCACACTATGACCACTATTTCATACCCCACCTTGTGGGTGTGTTTGGTATGTATTGATGAAAGTATATACATCCCTTGAACTTCCTCACCAATTCATCAACTGTAAGTTCACGACGTGGAATATAATACTGCTTATACAGTGGCTTCACAATGTTCATGAGGGGAGCAATTTTATACAAAGGATCATATCCTTCCTCTCCACATGGAACCCTTTGAGAATTTTCACAAAAATTAAGGAACAAACTGATCAGCTGGTTACAATTGTGTGGCAGTACATCTCGATAACCAGAGGACTGGGCTATATCCCCAGTAATCACTAATCCTTGGTTTGGAACACAATCCCATCAGATGAAATCAAAGCCTATGATGGCTCATCCGTAGTACACTCAATCCAATCATTGTAGCGAGAATTTTCAGGAAGGTCTGCAGGAATATCAAAGAACTCCAGGGCATAGGTGTTAGTCATCTCACAAATAATCTCAAATGCTTCCTGAGGGAATAACAAGTAAAAATAATCTGCAGGGTGGTTACCATCAGGCAAATGTGGAATCACAGGGACAGGCCTTTTGGCATAAGCTGGGCACCAAATTGGGATATAATTATCATAATCATCAATCAGCATCAGCCATGCCCCCTTGGCTACTATCATCATCATCACTGTCCCCATGCGCTATATCATGTGTATTATCATTACTTGCAGCATTATCGGTATCCGTGTCACTGTTTTTCCAATCATCATTGCCAAATTCACTCAATCCTGAGTCTGAATCTTGCATTATTTAGCCCAATACATCCCCTGTGGCAAGCCATTGTTTTTGTTTACCTGTTGACATGGATCGGGTCAGTGCCCTCAAATTGGGTAAATGTCAACAATTTCACAAAAATAATATCCACAATTGAGGAAACTACACTATATTACATTGTGGTTGCCTAGAAACTGTGCTGGTGTGGCATGGAGTAAATTACAGTATCATTGTATTTGCCTTCCTGAATCTTTTCCAACAGTTAAATGTCCTTTGTAAGGTAAGGAACATAAGACTGAATTCACAGCTTCAAATGTGGTCTAACCAATGACATTATATCTTCAGACTTATATTTAACGTTTTTGTAGAACCAAAAATCCTATTTGCCCAACCATTCCCAACAGTATATTGCTTTGATGGCTTAAGACTGATCAACCAAACACCAAGAACTTTTCTATAAAAACACTATTATGATTATTCCCATCAACACCAAAACTTTAATATCAGCAATTTTATATAATTTATTGGTAATTCCTTTATCTATGTCACTTATGTACGTTAAAAAGTACAAAAAATCCTAACACTGAGTCCTGAGGTACACCACTTGTGACAGGAAACTAATTTGACAGACCTCCATTAATAACAACCCTCTTCTATCCAGCCAGCTTTCTATTCAATGAGTCAACCTATCCCCCACACCTACAACAATAACTTTTTTTTAAACAAGCTTCTATGCATCACCTTGTCAAATACTTTCTGAAAATCCAGATACACTAAATCCACACCCATACCCTCATCTATGTAAGCAGTAATCAATTCAAAGAATGTCAAAAGATTTGTAGAGCAATGTTTTCCCCTGGTGATATCATGCCAACTATCCAATAAAATTTTAAGCTTTGTTAAATGACTCTGTAATGCCTCTTTTATCAGACTTCAAAAACTTTTCTCACTACTAATGTAAGACTAATAGGCCTATAATTATTTGGACAATTTTTATCCTTTAGCCAACTTCCAGTTTCCTGGGATTGCAGCTGAAAATATCATTAACAGCAAAGGTACACAACTGATGAAACAATGTATTTAATCTTTATAAGTAAGAATGTAAAAAAGTATATTTAATTAATTATGATAATTATAAAACCAGTTTGGAATTACCATGAATGGCCAAATGAATCTATGTTATGTGTAAATACAAATATAATTTTCTTAGTGTGAAACAATACAGTTTCTAATTTTGTGAAATAATACTACTTTATAAAGGTGTTATCATAATTTTAAAAAAATCCACAAAAAGAGAACAGAAACTACATACTTCTGCACATTAAATTAAGAATTATATATTAGTATTAACAATTCTATGTTAGTACTAACAACACTAAGTACTAGTAGTAGGCCTAAATCATAAGTACGTAAAATTATTAACTAACGGTTCCATGTTATTTTATCAATTTATGAAATATCTATTGAAATTGAATATCCTGGTATACACAATCAAGTAGGTAAAAGAGTAGTTAGTAATTTAAAATTTAAATTTAATCGACAGCCGAAAGATAATTTTGTTTTTATATTCAATGACAATGGTATTTGAGTTCGAAACTGATAGACTTACACAACAAATTATATTGTTACAACTTACGGTGCAGTGATACTGTTAAATTAATAAGTTAGGCTTAGAAGTAAAAAATTTAAAGAATTAGGCTGTTTACATAACATAGGTTATACTTACGACAAACCTTTCGTTGAAGACAACAACAAGAAAAAACTAACTACGTAAAGTTAACGAGAGAAATAAATTTAGGAAGGGACAAAATTTGGACAGGAGATATTTGGCGGCACACTGGCATCATATTAACACGTTTTTTATTTGGCAGCTCACCAATTTATTTTCGTTTTGATTGTATTTTTATGGAGTAACGAAAAATCATTTGACAATAATACTAGCATAATATATACGTTCTATCTTAATTTAATACCAAGCATAAATACCTGATTAATTTCATGATAGCTTGATAAAACGTTATTAAGCTATTGTCTCCCGAACTCCCCGTTCAACACTATTACTTCAACGAACCTACAGCACCTTCACACCCCTCTACCAACATATAACTTTGAAAAGTCGAATATATTTTTAAATTATTTCATGTCATACAAAAATTAAAACAATTTTAGAGAAAACTTCTCAATTATAAATTAATGTACAAATATCAATAAAATCCTGCTAACTAAAATAACTTGATTTTATTTAAAATAGTTACTGGCGATTCTAGAATGAATCGAATTGATTAAGAAGCATCGAAATATATATTAGTTAGCAAAAACGTAAAGCAGCAACGTAACAAAAAAAAACTGAGTTTCAGAAAATTTGCGAGAAGGATAGGTTGAGATAATATAAAGTAATGAAATAACCACAGAAATAAAAAGTGGTTAATCACTTGATAAATATATGAATTATAAGGGCTGGCTTTAAGATTTTTAAAAAAAATATTTCTATTTAGTTTAGAGGATAGAACAACTGAAATGGAGCAATAGGTCCCAAAACATTATGTTATATGTTATTTGAAAGTAGAGCGCTCAATTCACAGTCTGCGGGTTAAAATCCTATCACCAATTATGTTCGCCCTGTTACGACAGCGGAAGACGCGCGACGCTAGGAGCATGCGCGCTGGAGTTTCTAGAAGGATCGTGACTTAGAGGGAAACCTTACGAATGTCCCAGCATTTGCTAGACGCCCTCTTTTTTAGTATATAAGCCGGAGATTGATTGAAGAGAGATAATCAAGACAAGCGAGCAGTAGGCACTGCCAATAATTGATGATACTTTTGATGCCCCAAGTGGAGCCAGGTGGTTTTCAACTCTGGACTTAAAGTCGAGTTTCCATCAAGTGAAAATGGCTGAAGCAGATAAACCTAAGACTACATTTAGTTATGACCAAGGTCTCTGGCAATACTGTGTGATGCCATTCGGGCTTAGCAATGCTCCAGCAACATTTGAGAGGCTGATGGAAAGAGTACTGGAAGGCCTACAATGGAGGATAGCCCCAGTGCAACTGGATGATGTCATTGTGTTTGCAACAACGTTTGATGAGGAAATGTCCCGGCTGAAGGAAGTATTCAAGCATTTGAAAGCAGCAAACCTCAAACTCCATCCCAAGAAATGCCACTTGTTCTAGAAAGAGGTGCTTTACTTGGGTCACATTGTAAGTGAGCATGGTGTGTGAACTGATTCTGACAAGGTGAAAGCAGTGCATGATTGGCCAACACCAGACAATGTGAGAGAGTTAAGAAGTTTTGGGGATTCTGTACCGATTACCCGAAGTTTGTGAAGGAC